GGAAGTAAAAACATATGATAAAGAATGCTTTCCCTCAGGAGTAGCAACATTGATCTTTTAAAAAGTTTGCCCATATTCTTTATAGTCATTACTTAGAGTAGGTGCTGTCTGGGTACAGTGATACAGAAGTCTTTGGTGAAATTGTCCTAAGCTGCCTAAAGTCCATGGAAAAGAGAAGGATATGTATACTTGTATTTAGAAATAAAAGTATATTGTAAGGTTAAGCCTTTTGTGGGGACATAAGTTGCATATAAGGTGGAGCCCCCAGTGGTGCAGCAGATTAAATCACTGAGATGCTGACTGAAAGGTCAGTGGTTCGAATCCAGGGAGCGGAGTCAGCTCCTGCTGTTAGCCCCAGCTTCTGCCAACCTAGCAGTTCAAAACATGTATATGTGAGTAGATCAATAGGTACCGTCATAGCGGGAAGGTAACAGTGCTCCATGCAGTCATGCTGGCCAGGTGACCTTGGAGGCATCTATGGGCAACGCAGGCTCTTCAGCTTAGAAATGGAGATGAGCACCACCCCTCAAAGTCAGACACAATTAGATTTAATGTCAAGGGGAAACCTTTACCTTTAAGGTGTACATAAATGAACATGCTTTTACTGTTTATGCCACATACTTGTGTACTATTTTGTAACAGCCCAAGAACAGCAGAATAAAGCACAAATTATTTTGCTGCAAGGCAAAGACCAGTAAGAACAAAAATAAATCCCCCTTATCTGAAAATGCTCATCCATAAATACAGATTAATTCCTGATGGTCTCTAACCCATGGATATATTTGTGGGAGTTACCCTGGTGCTTGATAAGACATAGAGAAAATATACCCCTAGAAATATGTTTACACACATCTGTAACTGAGAAAAGATCCAGGAATTCTGGAATCAATTTCTGAGGCTTGCTGTTCAGAGGCTCTTCATTCAATAATGGTGCTTCACATTAGTTCTATATGGACATTGTTATATCTTTCAGAACAGGTGCTTGAAACTTTAGATTGCAGTCTGAAAAGTAGCCCTCCGTCCATGACCTCTGACACTGGAGAGCCTCCTATATGATTGCACAAGTACAACTCTGCTAGAGCAACAGAGACTGAAGCAAAAAATACGAGCAAACAGAAAGAAAATGAATTGATCCATCACCTCATGCAGCCAAAATAATATTGCGTAAATACTATAGTATGCTGGCAATGGTGAAGTTCTGGTCCACATTCTCATGTGCTTGACGAAATGGGAAACAATTGCTCTGCCAGCAGTTATAATGAACACCACCTTTGGGGAAACTGAGAAAAGTTACTCATGCATCTTCAGCTTTGCTCTTCTGAAGCCATGTGGCAGGAATTCAGAAGGGTGGAGTTCTCTTCCCTCTGGAAATATCTGATAAAACTCCACTGCTTCCCCCTCCCAGACCTTTTTTTCCTCTTCCACATGGCCTCAGACAGGATAAGGGTGTGGGCTTCTGAAGTCACGAAAGATGCAAAGAAGAGGGCGAAGAGAATGTGGGAAGGAGAGAGGACGGCAGCACAAACCATTACATCATCCTGTTCAGCAGCAAGCACATTCACCTAATCAAGAGCCAACCCCATTTGGACACAAGTGATAAAACAAGATTTTTTTGTTGTTGCATTGGCTGGAAGCCTGCTGCGTCAATAGTCTATCTTTCTGCCAATGGATTACACATATTAAAATGTGAATTTTGCCAATATTCAGAGTTTTACAAACTTTGAAACCTGACCTTGAAAAAACAAGTTAGAATGTGGTTGATCAAATGATATTTGGATATCTTTATTTAAAATGTGGTTTCATTTAGGTTTCTTAATTTGATGTCTAGATTATTCTTACTTACTTAAATGTTTATTATCTACTAGCCGTGCCCTGCCACACATTGGTGTGGTCCAGTCTGTGTATATGTGTTTTGTGTGTGTATATAATTGTGTATATGTGTATATATGTGGTTTTGCACAAGCACTGTAATGTAAGTTTTTTTTGCTTTTAAAGTCTTATCTGCTGTGTTTTTCAGTGTTTTTATGCACTCATAACTTCGTAATGACCTGCTTTTACATGTGAAAATATAAAAGTCCATTTAGACAGTGCCTCTTAGAAAAACATTAATTTGGGTTTCTTATGATTTGTGTCTAGTCTAGTTTTTCTACCAACCCATTCCTCCTACAATTTTGAAGACTGGAATGTATCTAAAAACACATATGCTTGTCTAAATGAGAATTTCTGCACTTGTACAATGTTCTAGGTGTCACACATCACCCAATCTGTAGTGTCATCTTTGAAATTTGACATAAGTTATATGCTTTCACAGCATATTTCCTCTTGACAACTGGGAAACTGACACCCAAAGTGAGGATCGTATTCTCACTAAAATCAGTGGGAGTTGATCATCATGACATCTCAGCTTAGATGCTTCCCAGACCAGATCAATGTATGACTTTGAATATGGAAAATATTTTTCCAGTTAAAACCTTGCTGTATAAATGGAAAAAGTCCAGCAAAACCAATGAAGAACAAGGCTGATAGGAATTCACCAGTATTAGGAGGGCCATATATTCTGCATCTACCTTCACATTAATCCATGGATGTGATTGAGCCTATCCATCTTTAGATGTATTTGTATATTTTTTTCAGAGGTAATAATAATGTACTGATTTTTCTCAGGCAAAGGATGCTTTAGGTCTGTGCGGTTAATGTGTTGGCATGAATCCATGCTAAAACAGCACCAATTATTTATCCTTGTTTTCATTGCTTTAGTTCTGGAGGATCTAGAATGTAATGTGTGTGTATTTATCAAAACAAAACCAACCAACCAACCAACCAGCCCTTCTAACATGAAAATCTAATCTTAACTGATGAGGATATATCTAAGAACACAGGCAGACACACTTTTTATGTCTGTTTCCAATACTGCTTTGGGTATGGCATAGCGCTATTCAGGTGCACATTTCTAGGCAATATGCCAAAGAACTCAACGTGTTATTAACATATGGGAGAAGACAAAAAGACACACAAGTATAATATACTGGTGATAACTTCCTTGAAAGCTGTTGCCAGTGTGAACCAGAGTTCAAAACAACATCCTATATACTATTTCCAAATGGTAAGAAGCTGACTTGCTAGAAGATCTTTTTCACTTTAGTCTTAATCTAGCTCTAGGTAAATATTTAGTAGCTCATACAAATTAGGAGCTGCATCCAGTGTAATATGAATGAAAATCAAGATGGAGATGTTAGTGGGCATCCAGTTGTACTGCAGCCATGTCCTTGTAAATATTCTTCCTCCCTGGATCAGGGGCAATTGTGTGGATTGAAGCATGTACTGAAGTGAAATCTTTTGATGGCTAGAGAGATTTCAAAAGATTATGATAGTATTCCACATATAATTTGTGGAAGTTTTACACTATTCCACAAATGATAGAAAAATGTAACAAATTCCTGTATAGTTAGGATGATTCTTTGGCTGTGTTACATGCAATATTAACAACACACTTGAGCCTTCATATGACCCTTATGTGCTATATGTGAATATTGTTAACACATCACATAATGTAGAAGAAAAGTCAGATGTGTTCTGAACACTATGTATTTCACTCACATTATTGAAGACTAAATTAAGCAGCCACCTTTCTAAAACAACCACATGATATCCTTTTGATTATGTGCCTCACACATATTTATTTGTTCCCCTCCCCTCAGTATTTCCTTCAGAGCTGCCAGATAAGCACCTGGACCTAAATGCTCTTGGCATTAAAACAAGTGAGTCAGTTTTGGATTGCTTCTACATATTTGCACCCAATACATACACCATGTTCTATTCAAGAAGTAACAATGTAACATTCCAATTTGATTATTATACATTTCAAGAAATTGCCAACTGTGAGAGAGATAAGTTTGAACACTGGATGGCTATCAGCCTCCTCCCAGTAGACTCAAATCAAGGAAATGCTTCATGAGAACCACCACTCCTCTTAATGTCCCTCCAGCAACAGCAAGAGTATCCCTCTGGGCAGCTAAACCAGGAAATCCCAGATATATCCCCCCCCCCCCAATGAGGGTCTTCCTCCAGGGGTAAACCAAGAATGGCAATTTTGAAAGTTCCTGAACAGACTCAGAAGTGGAGCGGACAGATCAAAAGACAACCTGGCAAAATGGCACGACCTAGAAGAATCTTCCACCTTGTGCAACTGTGGAGCATAACAAACAACTTAGCACCGGTATGCCTGCCCACAGTGCCCTGCTTCATGACAGAGGAAGAACTGTTTAAAGCTACAGACAATGCGGTCACTGTTGCCCATTTTTGGTCAAAAAATTATTTAGCTGCTATTTGATTAGTTTTATACTGATTTATTTATGCAATGCTTTTGACATGAAATACATACATTTCAAGAAATCGCTTCTGGAAAGACATTAAGCAATAATTCTGAAATATGACTTTTTTTAAAAGAAAAAAGTTATGCTCAATGAAAAATGAATGAATAGTTTGTATTTATAATTTATTTTTCTAAATAAAAAACCCTAAAGAACTAAAACCAAACAATTGTATTTGTCATTATAAAATTTTCAAGTGCCACATTGTATTGGCACTCTGCTATGGCAAGGTTACTCTGTATATAAACTTCTTCAATAGCTACCTGGATTGGGATTTTGTGTGATCAAAAGAGTGCACAATAACAACTCTTGGAGAGTGCTGGTATGGATTATTGCAAAGCAATGAATAAACTGTATGCATCCCATATACTTCTCTATACCATGTCTATGTGATAGTAGGTGTATAGTGCTAATGCTAGAGTATGTCTGTATACCACTGATTTGGGATTATTATTGGTAGTGGGCATGTATTCTCCTTCCTCCTATGATTATGGTCTGTTTCAGCAAAAATTCATTATAAAATGCAAGCTATTTTAAATTATAGCAAAGACAAGATTAAATTAGCAATTTTCATTTTGTTAATGTCTGTGCATCACAGTAATTTTTCTTTCTTTCATAGTGAATACTCACCCAGAAGGCTCAACACACAGAATGCTGTCCAGAAAAGCTGCCTCTTCTTCATTGCTTGAAAAGTCCACAGTAACATCATTCCCAGTGGTGAACTCTTAAAGAGTGCCTATGATCAAGCTGAATGTCCTTCTGAGTGCCTCTTGCCTGTTAGTTTTTCTGCAGTGCTGCTGAAGCTCCAGCGTTACTTACTTTTAGCTCAAAGCCTCTTGAGGTCAGTACATTGTGGGATAGGATTCCCTCCTAAAATACGTGTTTGTGGCTCAAGATTGGAAGGTGGAGTTTTCAAAAGTCTGATCTCATAGCTTTATATAGTTCAGAGCAGCCTCTCAACATCACATTGTTAAACTTCCCCGCCACTATATCACAGCAGTTTAACTCCTTCCTGGAAGTTGCTTTCATTCATTGTAAACAGATCAGTCCTGGAATTTAAACTACATAAAATGGGAGGAGAAGCAGCCCTTCTAATTTAGTTTTCTCTATGGTAGTGCAGACCTCTTAAATACAATAGCAGAATGATTCATACCAATACTGTAAAAGCTTAATATAGACATCAAGTACCTGGGCAGATATGTATTCTCAGTATTCTCAATACTGAGAAATCTGTGATATGATATACACTCACGATTCCAGAGAGTGACAAAAGAAAAGAGGACTTCAAATCCATTTGAGTTACTGTAATATAAAATGGAATCCTGCCTGTAGTGGAAAGAAGCCTGCCATTTAAGGACACCTTTTGGAAGAAGTAAATTGCAAGCAAAATATAATTTATTAAATCAGTAGCATGAGCCTTATTTAACTGGGGTTCAGGGCATGTAATCACTTGTGATAAAACAGATGTCTCAATGTTCCTGCATTTCTCAAATTTTTAATAATATTCTCCAAATATTTTGCTAGCTTCTTTCTAATATGTACAAAGGATCTGAAAACATAGCTTGAGTGTCCTTTACACATACAACCATCCTGCATGCTAACTAGTCATTTATTTTAGATTCATTGTGACCTTTCACACAAATCCTATTTTAGATTATATTTCTGCCTAAATTGAAATAGTGTGTGGAGAGTAGTAATAGGTTAATACACATTCATGCAGCAAATTGAGCAGCTCAGCGGTTTAACCCGCTGCGCCACTGGGGGCTCCTGCTGGAATTCTGCCTCAGGTATGAAATAAAGTTGAAAAATATTATACATATTAACTTGGGGAGGTGCACCATTGACTATTCCATTCCAAGTAGCAAAAAATCTTGAATTAATCCAAGAAGCCTGACAAGCATCTTAAACACCTTCATAACTAAGTGACACATTTATTATTACATTATATTATGTTTATTATACAAAGCACCTCAGTGATCCCTCTCTTTCCTCCGTTCTTGCGGTGTTTCTGCTAAACATGTTCAACTAGCTGTTTTAGTTCTAAATATACTATAACTGCACAACCTAATAAATAGGTAGAAGTTCTCAAAATGGCTGATAATCATATAGGTGGAATGCAGTTGGAGGAAGGAATAGCTCATGAGTTTCAGAAAGGTTTATTCCTGTCTTTTTAGATAATGAACACATCACTTACTACAGCATTTCTTTTTCTTTTTCTTCTTTTAACTAGACATTTAGTTATTTAATAGCTACAAAGAAGACAAAAAGCTAATATTTCAAGGAGGGTTATAAACAAGGGTAATACAATTTCTCCACAAATTTCAAACATTTGTTTTCTTCTTCAGGGTAAACTACAGGTGGTCCCTGAATTAGACATCTGACAGCCCACCACTGATTCTAGAGCTCAGCATTTCTTCAATCTCTCCCGATACAGATGGAATGAAGAAATAGAACTTGATTTTCACTAGCATAAGATGACACCACTCTCCAAATCCCTAGATAATGGTTACAGAGGCCCTTCTTCTGATTCATTTCAATTGAAAAAACAGTACTATGAGCACATTGTTTTTGAATGTGGAGAGCTGCCCCTTAACTGGGGCTGGATCTATACTGCCATGTAATTTGGATTATCAATCAGATAATCCACGTTACCTGCTTTGAACTGGATTATACAAACCCCCTTCTACACTGCCATATAAAATCCAGTTTATCTACTTTGGACTGGATTATATGGCAGTGTAGAAGGGGCCTGAGTCTACACTGCCATATAATCCAGTTCAAAGCAGATAATCTGAATTTTACATGGTAATGTAGATCTATCCTCAAATGATGATATGCCTGTTGAATGAAAGCTTCCACACCTGCTGTGAATCATGGGCAAGATAATACTTTTTATCTTGCAAGACATAATGACAAATGAATACAAAACAAAAAACCTGAAACTACAAATACTGTAGCCCTAAGCAAACTAATGGAGTAGGACCATTCAATTTAAGGTCTATTGATGTTATTTATATCTAACATATTCAGAACTGGGTTGTAAACATTTTCCTGTTGCTAGTTACCACAACATAGAAATAAAAAACTAATCAAATTTAAACAAATATTACGGTATCAGAAGTCTAGAATAATATTTTTTAAAAAATATTTATCACTTGTTCATGTTTCTTGACATATTTATGGATGAATCAGGATTTCACAGATTCATTGCTTTTTAAGGGGTAATCTTGTAGAAAACTATATCTCCCATTAACAAAAATCTATTTAGATTAATTAAAAATGATATGTTTCTGCTTGGAATTTTTCTCCTCCTAAGTACAGCAAAATGATATAAAAATGGGGTTAAATTTCCCAAGGAAAGCCACTCCTTAGCCAAATGCTTAATGTAACACCTGCAACAGATGCAAGAAATCTATGCTTCCAAACTTCCTCAATATCTCACCGTAACCAAAGAACCTCACATTCACTGAATACACAGAGGATGTGAATAACTCAAAGAAAGTATACAAAACCCATCTGATAAAGCAGCCGGTTTCCTGTGAAAGGAACCAGTTACATCCTAATACAGCATCTTCCCTGGCTATGCACAGCGATGCCTTATTAAAACTTCAGCATATATTAGCCCTGTAGAAAGTAAAGGACATCTAGATTGGCTCTCTTAACTACAATAATTAAGAGTTCCTATATCAAACACCAGTTGTGTCAGGGTATTAGATTTGCAGCTACAGCCTGAGACAAGAGAGGGCTGCAATGCTATTTTTGCAATTCTCAGCCTCTCCAGGCTTCCTGGATTGCCCTTCTTCTGGAGGAAGAAAAATAAGGGAATAGCTGCCACTTGTGTAAACTTCCAAGACATGATTTCTTCCAAGGTGATTTTTAGGGAGTAGCACCAGGTGAGATAACTACAGATATGTAGTTATGTATTACATGTTCATCTCCTGATCCAAAATAGCAGCCAATGTATTGTTGAAGGCTTTCATGGCTGGAATCACTTGGTTGTTGTAGGTTTTTTCAGGCTATATGGCCATATGGTCATGTTCTAGAGGCATTCTCTCCTGACATTTCACCTGCATCTATGGCAAGCATCCTCCGACTTTGTGAGGTCTGTTGGAACTAGGAAAATTGGATTGCCAAAAATCCATAAGGACTCCACCCCACTCAGACCCATCATAAGTGCCTTTGTATCCCCCATGTATGACTTAACAAAATGTTTGGCTGCACAGTTACAAACCCATATTGGGCTCACTACGCACTACATCAAGGACTCAGCCCACTTCATGCCTCTAGAACATGGCCATATAGCCTGAAAAAACCTACAACAACCCAGCAGCCAATGATCAAAGTTATACAGACTTAATATTTATTGTCTGAAATGCCTGGGTCCAGAATTGTTCTGTGTTTTGTATTTTTAGATTTCAAAATACAATATCTTCTGGAATAAACTCGTGTTGTACTTCGGTGCTCCTTGCCTTGTGTATGAGACACAAGGCTGGAACAAGACTGAGGATCAGTGAAATGGTAGGAAAGTGAAGGTTTTTGCTGCTAGCCTCATACACAAGAAGTGAATGAATGAGACATGAGGTTGGAGACAAAATGAAGTTCTGAGAGATGAAGACATAATAAAGATCTTGACGTGGAGCCACGGCACTACCTCAAAGGCAGACATGAGTTGATGACGGCAAAATATTTCAGGATTCAAAGGTTTTTAGATTTTACAATAAAAATACCTCTGCTAAAAGACCTCCTACAACAGGCAGCTAACAACAAAAGATGTGGGTAAAACCCTTTGCCTAATGTTAGAAAGAAAGCAGCCCTCTAGTCAACCTAACCTCATGGGGAAGGGAATTCCATAGTCTGGGAGAAATCACTGAGGGCAATCCCAGACAGGGATTCAACCCATGATGAAGTTGGCTTAAGAAACTCACTTCATTGTGGATTTAAGCCCCCACGGGCGCCCAGAAGACCCCTGATAACTATTGCATTGGAATGGGGCCACCCCAACCTCCCCCCCCCAGCATGTACCAATGATGTGCCAGGAGACCCGGGGGGGGGGGAGCGATTTGACTCCCCCGCCTCCTGGCGCATCATTAGTATGCCCCATGWGGGCTGCCCGAGCAGCTTCATGGCAGCCTGGTAAGCTTTTATTTTCTTTCAAGACTTTTAGGGGGTATTGGGATGTGAGTAGGTCCAGAAGCAATTATTTGGGTCAGTCCCCACTGATCCTATACTCCATTAGACCTGGGCCTTTCAGGAAGGCCTGGGTCTAATAGAGTAGCAAAATAATTCAGGACAAAGCAGGGTTTACCTGCTTTGTCTCAAATTACTTTGCTTTTACCTGAGGTGTCATTTGAACACCTCAGGTAAAAGTCCAACAGGGCTCACATTGTGGGCCCTGTATGGAAGGGCTCTTAGAAGGCCTTATTGTTTGTCTTCACCAAACATGCCTTGAATGGACTGAGAGAAAGCCTTCCCTTGAGCATGTCAACATGCAAATAGGTTCATATCAGCCAGATTAGAGATACTACAGCATTCTTTGTTCATCACACAGTACTTCTGGAATAAAATGCAGAAAATCAAAATTTTAAAGTTGTGATATATCTTCTATTGCCTTTTAAGTATTTTAGATTACATTCTGCCATAATGATTTGTGAGAACTGCTGAGATTTCTGGCTGATCATTTGCTCTGCCCAATTAACTCTCCTTGGCTCCTCCAATAAGCAGAGCAGGGGCAATCAGGCAATATGTCCCAGATCACAGCTTCTGACGGAGAAGCCAAAATCTACAGCATTTCTGCTTGATTGTTATGTTTCAGTGTGACTAAAGGATACATCTGGATATGTATATTTGGATATATAAATCTCTTCACTTATTTTGGAAGATGAAACTGACCATATCTAATTTCTTGAAAACCATGGGATTGAAGTTGATGGTGATTAATTTTTCCTCTAGGTATAATGGTA